AGCCACAGCATCAGTACATATACCGTTAGCACAAGGATTAGGATCACAATCATTGATATTACTGGAACAATGGTCTCCAGTGTAGCCAGACTGACGCTCACATGTGTAACCAATGGCTGGTGAATTGATACAGGCTCCATTACCACAATCAACTCCTTCACAATGATCAATCTCTGTATTACATGTGTCTCCAGTGTATCCTGGCTCACAACTGCATGTAAATAGATTGGGTGGTATGTAAGTGCAATTGCCATTAGCACAAGGTGAGGTATGGCAGGGATCAAATTCATATGTTGTATTGCAGTCTGGTCCAGTGAATCCAGGATTACATATACAGACTCCATTAGAACAGGCACCATTTGGGTTACAGTTAACATCAGCACATGGATCTGTACTTCAGAAAGTAATATATTTTATACTAACAATTTCTATATAAATTGGATAAAGAAAAATTTTAAAGAGTGGGATTATAGCTATTCTGAAACTAGTACTGTAGCTGCCATATGTTAGTTCCTCACCATCAATTGTATGTCCAGCATTAATTTCTTTAGTAATATTACTTGCTGGTGGGTTTAGAGGAAGAAATGTACTAAAAGCTGATTCTGATGGTCCACTAAATGCAATAATTGGAGTATCACGGACAACTGCGATTGTTCCCATAGTTCCCTCTTCAATGAAAATTGTAAAAGAGAATAAGTATGTTCCTGGAGCCACAGTGCTTTGAGAAGCTTTGCACGTAATATTGTAGCAAGTACTGTCAAGTTGAATACCATAACCAGCACCCACTATAAAAAATACTTGTTATCATTTAAAATGCTACATCTGCTTACATGATTCACATTCTCCTGTTGTACAATTGTAAAACATTCCTCCATCACAATCTTAGTGTTTAGAAGATTAAACTTGTACATATAAAAGTGACTTACACTGAGCATCAATTAAGTGTGAACAAGACAACAATAGCAATAAACCGAAAAGAACTAAAACAACACTATACCAGACTATGTTTATCTATAAACAGTACATATAATTATTGATTTAGATCTACTAGAAATAACTTATTTTACTTAATATTTACATGTTGCTCAAACAATTTGTAAAGGGTGGATCACTGAAGTTTGTTTACACTGTTGTTGTCATAGAGAATGTAGTTGTTGTTTATATTCATAATGTAACTTGATCTTCATCTATAGTATGAATAGGCTGGAGTGGAGTTCTATACCAGCAAAATAAGCGGAGTGAACTAATTCTGCAGAAAAATTAGAGTAAAACTAGATCTAATAACTTAAGTGACAATGTAGTTTGCTAACTCCTAATTTGTAAAAATTTAAATACTTCATATACATGTGATAACATTGATACATACTTCAGCAAGACAAATGAAAGAATTGCTGATGCAGAGGTCATTTTTACCAAAAATAATAATTAATTAATTAATTGGGCGTGGCCATGCATATTAGGGCGGAGTTTATGGAATTGTTGTGAAAAGATGTCAACTTCGATGCTTCGTTCCTTTTCCCTCTTTCTTCTTCTATTTCACTTCTCTGTCTCACTAGAGATACAAGTACCCACTAAACCATCACTTACACTAACACCATTCCTCATCCAACAGGTTTTTAACGGGACAGAACTTCTCCGTACGTACGAAGACTCCTCTGCCTACAGTGATAGTCGGTCTACTTTGATATACGAAGAAGAGGCTCTCCTTTATTATCCTGTCCCTCGTAATGCTTGTTCTACGATAGAGAATGACCCAATGAACGAGTCTGATGATAATAATTATGTAGCTTATGTGCCTGACTATGATGCTTGTCCAGGGACTAATGTAAGATCATTGTTGTGTCTGTTAGTAGTTATTCTATTAGTGTATGGACAAGTAATAACAATCGTAGACATAATTGTGTACTGTAGTGTTGAAACTATGGTATACCATGTACATGTACTAGCGAAATTAGTACT